TGGGGGGGGGGGGGGGGGCGCGGCTGATGGATGGCGAGGGCTGGATCAAATAATACTGACGTTTTCATTCTCTTTTGATGCATAGACCAACCATAATAGCGGCGTCATTCACGCAGGCATGTACTACGAGCCTGGCAGTGTCATGGCCAAGGTTTGTTGTTGCCCAAAGAGTCACTTGTCGCGACGCACGTCAGACCTTTTCCCTCTCATCTGGCTGGTCGGGGTGCTGTTGCGGTTGTCATCACGACGAGCAGTGCTGTGTGCGAGGTGCTGACTTGATGTACGAGTACTGCGGGCAGAACAACCTGCCTCATCGCCGATGCGGTAAAATGATCGTGGCCTCGACTCCCGACCAGGACCACTGGGTCAAGACGCTGTACGAACGAGGCAACCAGAACGGCGTCAAGGGTCTGGAAATCCTCAACAGCCAGCAAATTCAGGAGCGCGAACCTGCCGTTCGTGGCTCCTCCGCCCTCTGGTCCCCCAACACCGGCATTGTAGACTTTGCGGCCGTTGCCCGCCACATGGCAAAGGAGCTGCTCGCCACAGGCCGCCACGATATCCGTCTCAGGTTTCAAGTGACTGACTTCAAGGTGGACGCCGCTACCAACGTAGTCGAAGTCATTGGCGTCGAACCTGGTCAAAAGGGCCCTACCAAGCGAGTCCGCGGCCGCAACGTGATCACCTGCGCTGGTCTGCACGCCGACACGGTTGCTAGCCGCGGCGGTGGTCGCGCCAACCCCAAAGTCGTGCGTCTCTTTCATTCGTGACATCTCTTTTCATCTTTGGCGTACGCGCCTCTGTTCTCAACTTTTTTTTTTCTCTGTGTTGTGTGTGTGTGTGTGTGTGTGTGTGTGTGTGTGTGTGTGTGTGTGTGTGTGTGTGTGTGTGTGTGTGTGTGTGTGTGTGTGTGTGTGTGTGTGTGTGTGTGTGTGTGTGTGTGTATTGTTTCTATCTCTCTCTCTCTTTCTCTCTCTCTCTCTTTCTCTCTCTCTCTCTTTCTCTCGTACAACGTAGGTTCCTTTCCGTGGCTCTTACTGGCAGCTCAAGTCTGAATACAAGGACATGGTGACTTGCAACGTGTACCCCGTCCCCAGCGGTGGCGGCATTCCTGTTGGCGGTGAGTGTGTCCATATTATCGTCACGCGTTGACCCGGCGCGCTCTAGTTCACCCGTGCACGTGTTTTTGCCTTACAGTGCACTTTACGCCCACCGTGAACGAGCAACGCGGCGAGGGCATCATTGTTGGCCCTGGCGCGTGCATTGCCTTTGACCGTGAGGGCTACAACTTCTTTGATCTCAGCTTGCGCGATCTTTTTGACATCACCACCAACATTGGCTTTTGGCGGTTTGCCATCAGCAACCTCAGTCTCTCACTCGGCGAGATGTATCGTGACCTGAACAAGCGCGCCTTTATGAACGAGGCCCGCAAGCTTATTCCCACCATTACTGATGACATGGTTGAGGAGTCCTTCGCTGGTGTCATGGTGCAGGTCTTTGAAAGTGATGGCAAGGCCAGCAAGGATTTCATTTTCGAACGTAACTGCCTCAGCGGTACAACCTTGCACGTGCGCTCGGCCCCCAGCCCTGCTTGCACTTCCAGCATGGCCATTGCCGAATATGTCGCTGATACCGCAGCCCAGGATTTTGGCTGGTAAATTCCAATGTGCTTTACATGTTAAGAACAGTTACGCCATCCACAATTGTATTTTCGTTGGGATTGACTTCTTTGAGGCCTCCATATCTGACGCCCAAAGCCAAAGTGAGCCCGTGATGCTCGTGATGGGCGGACAACGCAGTGGTAATTTCAATTTGTTTTTATAGAAAAGCAAGATTTCACATCATTCACACTCGCACATTACAAAGTCCCAAGTGAATACACAACAACAAGCCAACGCAAGCATCCCTGTTTACTACATTCGCTACACAGAGAACCATCCACGGCACTACTATATCAAAAGTTGCGGCGAGCAACCCATGTGACGATAAACGAGAAGAAGACGCCTCTGATTGAGGCTAAGGAGTCGGGCTGACGTAGATGCCCCCCCTTAGAGAATCGTGCAGCCACAGCAGCAGGATTGTGGGTAGTCAGGGGCATGAACCTTGCCGTCCAAACCGTACATCCAGTACTGAAAGTCCTTGCCGTTCCAGTGGGCAGTCACGTGAGTAATGGGGATGGCGTGCACGGTCTGGCGTTGCAGCAAAACTCGCTCCGTCTAGCACAGGCAGACATGCCCATGAGGTTTTAGTGAAAGAAAAAACAAAAAAACAAAAAACACAGGAGCAACGATGCGTGCACGTACGGAGGGAATGATGGTGCGGTGCTGCTGCACGAGACTCGATGCAACGGCATCAATCTTGGGCAAAGGACTACCCACGAGTGCCATGACCTGCACGTTCAAGCATCCTCGTGAGCGGAGGTGGCGGACGACGTGCACGCGCTGAACGGTCCCACTCTTGAGACTCACTTGCGCGTCTTGTTCTTGATACACGCAGCGGCCTTGGCCTTGGATGACTTTATCCAATGGCAGACAAAAGGCATCCTCATCAAACACCTTTTGGGAATCATGAACCGACCTGGGAGTGCATGAGCAAAAGCAAGGCGGGAACAGCGCCGTGAGCGTGCTCGGGGACGGGGCCAAGTAGGAGCAACACCCAACGTACCAAGTCACAATCAGCTCGAGGTAGGTCATGAGACGGCCAGAGCCGCGGCAGCGAGAGCACATGCGTCGACCGCTGCCGTTGCAAGTGTGGCAAACGCGTACGCCGGAACTGTGGCAAGAAGAGCAGGGCTGGCCATCACTGCGCCGGCCAATCCCGTTGCAGAAGGTGCACTGGCTGCGGCCACGTCCCTGGCAAAAAGTGCACATGATGTTTCCCAAACCGGCGCAGTTGTTGCATGCGTGCACACGCGAGGTGTGGGGCACGGGCTTGCGATCCTCCGAGACGACAAAAGGGTGAGGTGTCATGACGCCAATGGCCCACGGATGAGGGGCCAGGCCGCGCTCGGGCCCGTCTACATCCTGGCCTGCATAGTCGACACCAGCACAGGAAGAATCGGGCCAAGAATGGGGGAGCTGAGCGCTGGTGACAATCAAGGACGATAAGGGCGCAGCAAAGGAGTGGGGCACGATTGGATCCCGCACGCGTACCGGCATAGGGAACGGTGCGATCGCGGGTGCTGCGCTTCTCTGTGAAGGACTTGAATTCGTACACGTAGCACACGTTGGAGGTGTGGCTGCGCAAATTCATTTCCTGTGCCGCCTTGGTGCCTGCACAGCAGGCCTCGTCCATTCGAGACTTGAGAGCGTCCTTCAATTCTTCCTCCGTTGGCGTAGGGGTCCTGAGCAAAGGGAGAGCATGAGGACGAGACAAAGCATTGCACGGCGACAAGAAGGGGACCGAGGGTGCAGGGCGGACGTACGGCTCCGGGCGAAATGCGTTGGGAATAATTTGTGCAATCGGCACGGGAGCTTCCGAGGGCGGAGCAATGACTGCGCAAACGTCGTGATCATCACGAGGTGTCGTGAGACAGTCGTGAGATCGTTGAAAAGGGATCGCGGCGGCGCGCCCATACTTTCGAGGTTCGGTGCGCTGGGCTCGGCGGAAGAGCTGTGGCCCGAGGCACCGAGATTGACATCTTGGTAGTTTTGCTGGGAATGTGGCACCCCGCTTGCACTGGATGGGCCGCCGTATGGCCCTGGGGGCGGGGCACTCGCGCTGGGCGCATACGCCGGCGGAGGCTACGGCAAAGGAGGCATGGATGCTGAGAAGGAGCATCGCACCGAGGGAACAGCTTGATTTGCAGACGAGGATGGCATGCAGGTTCGAGTGCGCAAGAACCCACCGCGCCGTAGGGCCCGTTGCTGTTGAGCAAAGGTTGCTTCTCCATTTTGTCGTCGCTACGCGCACAGCCGGGTATCGGTGAGGCCGGGAAATCAAATCGCCGGTTAACACAGGCTCGCACACGAAACCATCTTGCCACACAGGAATAAACCCCACAATTGTGATCAGACAAGCCAGCCAACCGATCAGCCAAACGGCAGCCGGGCACCGCAGGCGATCGGCGCGGACCTGTGCAAATTTCACGATTTCCGATTTCAGCACCTCGTGTGCACACGTTGGGAAGAAAAAAATAGGAAGTCAGAGAGTGTATGTGGAAGCGAAGCAAATGCAGAGAGTATGTGAGATCAGGGTGTGTAATGAGAGGTAGAGCACAAGTGATGAGTGAGGTGAGTGTCGTGATAAAGGTCTAAGAAGAGTGATGGGAAAACTGTGAGAGAAACGAGAGATGACTTTGCATGACTGTTGGAAAAAGAGATGGGGCGTGGGCAAGATGAATATGGCAAAACGGCACACCACCAACGTTTGGCGGTTGGGGAACGCCAACTCGAGCAACTGGACCAGCTCGATCACCTCGACCGGCGATGCGACCTGGAACATTGTCTATGAGGCGTACTGGGAGCTCCGTACCGGTCGGCCGCCATATCTCGAGACATCTTAGGCTGATGTGAACGTTTTCGACACACATGTAGCTTAAGCTGCCCGCGGGCACATGTAGATTGAGGATGGCGTTGTTATGGATGGAGCAGGACGAGCCCGTTACAGGGCGGCTCTGTTGGATTTTTGGCTCGGAGCATCAGGGGTGATTTGACGTGCATCTTTCCTTGGGCTTTGTGGTGACACAACCTGGCCTTGCGATTCTTTGTGTCCTGCCGTAGCAGCAGAAGCGCTCGGCCCAGGCCATGCAGGCCAAACGACACTGTGGGTTGTCATTTACTATCAGCCAGTCAATCGTCCTGCTACGCAGGTTTCGGATACACTCGGTCAAAACATTTCAGAGACCTCGGTCTCGCCCAAACAAACAAGAGACAGTGGGTTGCGGAAGGGTTTAAACGCGCGCACGCCGGAGCCTCAGCCTTGTTGTATGACTGTATCCAGGTGCCGCAGGGTGTGGTACTCGACACAAGTCAAATGCATCCGCTGGGTTCCACTGTCGCAGTGCACGGATGGCTCTATCACAGCCACGCCACGCGCGGGCAAAACAAGCAGGTGAGATCGAACATGATCGACAAAGAGACAAACAATTCGGAGCCTCGCGGTTGGATGCCCACCTCCGGCATAGATGACCGCTCGGCAGTGCTGGCACGTTGCCACGACGCGCGGCTCCCATTCCTACAGTGACGAGTGCCCCGGGCCCGTAAAAATGTGAGCACAAGCCAAAGCATAGACATGCGTCTGCCTGTGCGAGAAACTGACGCCAGCCCGAGTCTGAAAAACTGGCACATTGATGGTTTCCTCAACAAAATGCTCAAGTTGGTCGCCTCGTGCACGCGATTGATCGACTGCTGGTCGAGGAACGGTGATACGCCGGGCTGCCTCATAAATCTGTGCGGCTGCACGACGCCGGCGAGAGGCACGAGGCCCTGCAGCGCGGAGTGGGCTGCTGATTTTAGTCTTCATTGACTGGGGGCGTTGGTTGGCTGGAGGCGTGGCCAGGTCGCGACCTCGACGCACAAGCACGTAGACACGCTCACTATCGGGTAATGGCGTGGTCCCAGGGACTGTGGGCTCTTGTTCGTCCAAAGTTGAGGGATGGGTGAGCACGGCGTTGATGTGTGACCAATGCTCTGATGTTTCTCCCGAGCCTGTCTCTGAATTGGAATGCTCGGGAACTGCTTCGAGCTGCGGACGCAAAGACGCAACAGGAGGTTCGCCCGGTTCAGGCAGCGCACGAAGGGGCGGGGCAATGGATTGAATCTGTGCCAGGCTGGTGTCGGCATCAGGTGCGTGGCCATAAATGATGGCTGTGTTTGCCATGGCGACGTCGGACTCGATCGCCGCTTGCACGCCACAATCGACACGCTCGGCAATACGAGCAAGATGATTGGCACCGACACGGCTCATGGCAGCCAGCCGCTCCATGTGCCCCAAGTGAAGATCTGTTTGGCAGGCAATTGCCGAGCCGGTCCTAACTTCCTGTGTGTCTGAAGCGCTTTCCACGCCAAGAATCTCTGGTAGTTGAGTTTCAACCACCGGAACCGGATCCGTTTGCACGGCAGCTTCAGAGTGTGACATCGCTTCCGTTGGTGTCGCCGGGGTTGCGAGAACTGAAGACGATGCAGCTTCTCGTTCGTCTGGCAGGGCCAACTCCAAGGCGCTGGACCCCCGCTCGATTGTCAATGGCTCGACTTGTGTGGCCTGGTCAATATGGATGGCGGCGAGTTCAGGGGTGCCAACATCCACGTCACACGTGCTTGGGGGCGGGGCCGCCGCTTGCTCGGCCGCATCCTGAAGACGGGCTTGCCGGGCCGCATTGAGCCAGGCCTTGCGACGATGGCGCTTGTGCAGCGCGTTGAGCTGGTCCTCGTACTCGCGCTCGACGTTGGCCAGCGTCTCCTGAAGCTCCTGTAGGGCTTCCACGTGCTGATCGCGCTCCGACTCGAGTTCCGCGAGGCGTTGCTGCCACTCAGAGGGACTGGCCTCTGGGACCTGGGTGTCGGTCGATTGGCTTGTTGCCAGTGGATGAGGGAGTGCTGACATTGGAGCTGCGATATCGTCGATGGCGTCAAAATCCATCGAGTCGTTCATGAGGTGCGGGGTGGGACTGGGCGGGGTCTCTGGATCTTGGCTGGCCGTCCGGCTGGTGCGAGTGCGGGATCTCGGCCGGTGCTGCGGATAACGCTGCGGATCATCGCTCAGGCTGCTCCCAGCCCGTCGAAGCTTGTTCTAGCAGGTCCCATAGACAGGCAGACAGGCGGATCGTGTGGGTTGATAAGCAAATGTCAGGTGGGGAACTGGATGTCTGTGGCTGGAGGCCAGGTGCGGACCCACCTTGCTGTAGTGGACGCTGGGGTCGGGGCTAAAGGGACGCGGTGACCGGGCTCGGTATCGATGCTTCAAGGGCTTGGCCACCTGCATCTTGTTGTACTTGTACTTGAGACCATCAACAAATTCCTGGATGAACCGGCCAAGGCAGGTGAGTTGGTCTCGGCACGGGAAGGCGAGCCACACGGGATCAACTCGTTTCCACTGGGCTGGGTACGTGGGCAGGAGGAGGAGGAGGAGGAGGCGTTGTGGCCAGACCTGATAATCCACCGTGCCCGATTTGTCTTTGTCCCAAATCTTCAAAAGGGCCTGGTGCAAAAGAGCCGGGCATCGGCATTGGGGTGAGACAAAGGGGCCCAGTGATGGGCAAGCATCGAGCACTAAGAGAGGGCTGCGGCTCGACCTTGATTTCTTGCTTGGTGAGCTTGAGCTCTTTGAACTTTTCAATGGTCGACTGTAATTCCTTTACTGCGTCGGCAAGTCAAGGCAGGTCACAGCGGTAAGCAAGCCCAGCACAGGCGCGATCATTGAATCGCAATTATGTCTCGCTGGTACACGCATGCGCGAGGGCAGGAGGAAAACGACATCGGCACCCACAATCGAGCTGCCCGTCGCCGTCGCGGTCGAAACGCTTGAAAAAAGCACGGACAGTCAGCTTTTGATTGGCCAGAAATTGGTTGACCTGTCCCAGGTGCAGCAAAGAAGCGGGCGGATGAGAGGGCGCGATGGGCCTGGTTCCTCTTTTTCGGGTCGGGCAAGCCAACGCTGAAATCGGCAATGGCCAACCTGGGTGTTCCATTTTGCCAAGACCACGTCGGGCTGAAGCTCCGACGAGTTGACTTTGCGGTGAAGACGAAAGTCTTGAATGGCTCGCTGCAAGGCGGCCAGCGCCAGGACGCGGTCAACTGTGAAAGGAAGACACGAGTGGAGTGCTATGTGAGTGGCGGGTACACAACGGCACGGGATAGGCCCGTGAGGCTCGGTGGACGGGGCGTCAACGAGGTTGTGGTCGCGGCGCCTGGAGAAGGGGTTTGGGGGCAGGCAGCCAAACCGGATGCGCCTGAACGCTTGGCGTAATGGTAGCGAACTATGGCCTTGTAGACGGCCACAATGCGGCGCTTGTAGCGGCGCTGGGAGGCGGGAGCGAGGGGCGGGGAGGCAGCGGCAGCGACAGGAGGAGACGTGGATATGGGCATGGTGCTGGTAGCCTGGGGTGGGCTCGGGACAGCTTCATCTTCCAAGAGCCTCAGGGTCGGGGCTGCCGCCTCTGCCATGCCGGTCTAGTCCCCAGTGGCAGCAACGCGAAACAAGACTAGCAAACACCGAGGGAACAGCAGCTATGGCGGCCACACCAATCTCGAGAGAAAAGGCGAGCGTAGTCGCACCCTGCCACGACCCGGAAGCGCTGGTGGAAAGAAGAGGAGCCAAGGAGATCTTGAAAGAACAAGCCGAGGAGGAAGCTGAAGAAGAAGCAGCAAGAATGGCCTGCCGTCGATCGGCAGACATAAGTTGCATGGCAACCTGCGGCCCGTTGACGGCCGGGGGGCGGCGCTAATGTGCCGTTGACACCAGCTCGCGTGGGTGCGGAGTAAGGGTTTGGAGGCGAAGGGCAGATTCAAGTCAAGAGGCACGGGGTCATACGAGGACGCTCCTGGTGGTCGTGCGAACGGGTTCAGCGTCGTACGTTTCAGGGTGAGCGTTGTGTCATGCGTCAGCTTGAGCAACCAAAACCTGGGTGCACTTGTGCGCGATACGAGACGGTTTCCCAACCTGCCTCTCTGGTGCAGCCGTGGACTACACAGGTGATCCGCCAGCTGCACCCGGTGATCCGCCAGCTGCACCAGGTGATCGGGCCGGTCGGTCTTGTGTGTCCCTGCGAGATCAAGTAGATGGGACACATGTGCAGAATCTGATGATGAGAGTGGGGGTGGAGTGGCAGACTGATGTTTTCAACAGCTGTTGTCGACTTTGCGATGTGGTGCGAAAGAGTCGGATGATCTTTTGAGGGTGATGCTGGGCTGCAATAACTGTGCAAATAGCTGCATAAACTTGGCTTGTGTACGTTATGAAAGCTACAACAAGTCTGTGTTCGCTCGTGGTGGCGGCCGGGCCTCGTTACGGAGGGCACTCGGGGCAGATGCCTCTGGTCCCTGTAGATGAGGGCCGAGGCTTGGACCTCGGTACCCCCAAAGGATGGTCGTGGACCATGGCCATGATCGCGTTCAAAACCCCTTGACATGTTAACGGAAAACCAAAACAAGAAAATTTCACGGCCAGATTTCGTGGTAAAAAGCCTCAAAATGTTCTTCACGAACTCGATAAAAGGATAGCTATAAATCTACAATAACTGCTCTTTTCGCGACATGAAACCTTTTTGTCCAGAGCACCAGATTGTTTCCTTTGATGAAAAACCAAAAAAAAAAAAAAAAAAAAAAAAATGAACAGCGCAGGTGCCAAAGGGGTACGGCCAAGGTCTCATCTGCTGCGCCGCTCATGCAGTGGGCAGGGTAATTGGTTTGACCAAGCCAGGACGGTGAAGGAAAGCTGGTGCATAATTGAGAAACTCCAAGGGGCTTGTTCCTCGCTGCCATTTGAGACCACGCACTCGCTCTCCACGGTGTTTCGTTTGGGTCTTACTGCTGCTGCAGCTGCAACTGTGGTTGTGGCAGCTTGCACGCTCGGCTCTCTCGAATCGTGGCAAGGAAAAAGATTATCTCTGACATTTATATGTCTCAACCATTCCCCTCTGAAAGGCAGCGGGATGGTTTTCGATTCTCTGGATTTGCCTTTATTTTTCCTTATGGTACAAGTGCTTTCTTCGCCCTCTCTCTTTGGGTGTCTCGCCTCTTGTCATCCTCTCCCAATGCGTCGCATCGTTTTGCCCGCTCTCTGCCTTTTGAGCAGCTTGATTCCCCACTCTCTCAACTCTCTGCTCTCACAGTCACACACACACTCTCTTTTATTTTTTATTTTCTCCCTCTCTCTCTCTCTCTCTCTCTCTCTCTCTCTCTCTCTCTCTCTCTCTCTCTCTCTCTCTCTCTCTCTCTCTCTCTCTCTCTCTCTCTCTCTCTCTCTCTCTCTCTCTCTCTCTCTCTCTCTCTCTCTTTCGAGTCGGAGCGGCGGCATTTGGCAGCGGCGCGATCAATCTACTCTGCCGCTCGCCAGTGGCCATTGCCTCAGAGTTCTTTATCCAGGGAACGCTGGTATTCCGCGAGTGCTGCAAAGTATCACACGGTGGCGAGCGAGATCGTCTTGGCTTTTTTTTTTTTCTGGACCGCAAGACGCAAGTCGTGGCGCGCGCTGAATCTGGCAGCGCCACCGACTGGCGGTTGCTGGTCTCTTATTCTTACGCTATCCTCTCTTGCCTTTGGCCCCTTGGCCTCGCCCAAAGTTGAATCGACTACGGCGCGGCTGCTTTCTCTCTTCTCTCGGTGGCGTGCCTTTCGCGCGGAGCGGCAATTCCTGTCATCGCATCCGGCTCGTCTTGGCGCACAGGTAGAGGACCGCATTGCCTTCCATGCCCTTGGTTTTGAGGCTACCTGCCGGTGTCCTGCCTCCTCGGGCCCTCACGAGTTTGCTTTTGTGGACTGCCCTCGCCCGTACCAACTAGGCTCGTGCCGTCCGTGCCAGCGGTATGCTGGGCAAACGGCCAAAACCAGAGGCCTGTCCGCCATCAAACCGCAGTGCCTCCATCGGCCGCTGGCCATCGATGCCCCACTTGCTATCTATCGTGGCCCTAGCCTTTGTCCTCGTCGCGTTTATGCCTCATGACGTCAAGGCCATCACCCCGGAGCAAATACAGTCGTACGTTTGCCCGAGCATCCTCGATCAGGCCGCGGGTCCACCCTGATCCGCCCGCGCCGTTTGCCTGGTCCACTTTTGCTGACCATGTATATACGCACATATCCTTTTTATTTTTTTCTCCTTCCCTCCGTCCTCCTCTGATCTCACCTTTTGATTTATTCTTTTGATGCATCTTTAGATGGCTGACGACCAACACGTCCGAACTGTCCCCGACCGCCCTCAGCCGGCTGCAGAACCTGCCGCCCACGCTCTACTTCACCCTTCCCGATGACAGCCTGCTGCGCTACTCGCGCGAAAACCCTCACTGCGGTCGCAGTAGCAACAGCTCCTTCTGTCTACAGAGTCGCCCCACGTCATCCTGGCTTGGGCTGGTGGCTGCGCACTTTCCCACCGGCATCGAGAGCAACCGGCTCCAGCACCTTAACGACACGCAACTCGTCATTGTAGGCAGTCGCCTGGTCAACGTGTCAGAGTCCGCCGATCACCTGGGTGCCTTTGCCGCCCTCTACCTTGACCTCGCCACCCCAGCCCTCTCCACATCCCTCTTTGGCACCAAGGTTGAGATGGCCTTCACTTGCGACCGTAACATTACCCTACCCGACTTTCCCGCCGTTGCCGCCCGCACCACCGACGGGATTGAGGCCGGCATTCCTACCCGGCGCTACCATCTCGACGTTCACCACGATTGTGCTTGCCACGACCCCCACGACTACGATAAGTGCTCGTATTTCTCCATCAAGTTTGACAAGGTCGATGCTGTCACCCACTGGCGGAATAGCGCCGATGAACGCCAGGGCGACGTGACCAAGTGCATGAAGTCGTTCACGAACGATCTCAGCTTCTTGTGGGGCCTATCCCTGGGCATCATCCTTCTTGACATGTTCCTTGGCTTGGCCGCGCCTTGGCATCAACTGCCACAGCGAGCGCTGCCCGGACCAGGGCAACTGCCTGAGCCGGCTTCGCCCCGCCGACGTCATCTACGAGCGGCCCTTGGGAACTTTACGCTATGTTCTCACCTTTGGCTGGATGGACGCCCTCACCCCACCGGCCCACTTGCTGGAGACGGACGAGATTGCCTGGCCAACCGCCGCCGGCTTTGGCGCCATCAGCATCGTGGTCCCGGCCTTTACCAACAACGCCCTGCCCTTGACCGGCATTCTCACCATCCTCATCTTTTTCATCCCCCTCATTCTGTGCAAGTATGCCCGCACGCAAACCATTGGCCTCGTGGCCGGGGCCGCCTATTCCGTTGCCGTCCTGGAGCAGGTTTGGAGCGCCATCGCCTGCTTTGGAGAGCGCCAATCCGCCATCAACGTCCTGGCCATGATCCCGCCGACTGTTTGCATCACCTACTTGGCTGCATGGTACTGGTGGCAAATTGCCAAGCGCGCACAGTATCTCTACGATCGCCTCAAGGGCAACGTGCACGAGGAACCCACCTGGCGCGAGCTGCAGATCAACAAGCTTGATCGCCGCCCTTACATTCGCGCGCTCCTAGCCCGGGTCCCGCGCGCCTCCCTCACGCCCTCCTTTGGCTACCAAGCCTTTCGAGCGACCCTCACCGGCGCCGACCACTACATGGTGCCGACACGCCTCCTCTGCGCCGTTGGCCTCAGCATTTGCTGCACCATCTCCATCACCCCCTCCATGTACTCGGCCGCTTCCCTCCTCGGCGCCATGGCCGAATTTGCCATGTCCTCGGGGCATTGCTGCGAAGGTCGCCAGTGCGACCCAACCCCAGGCGCCGAGCTCTGGGTCGCTGACTGGCTCACAATGGGTGTCGGCGTCCAACTTGGCCACGGCGAGGAGTGTCGCAAGGACCAAATCGTCATTCGCCACGCGCTCAGCGCCGGTATCCCCTCAGCCGCCACCCTCGTCGGCTTTGCCCTCTGCATCTCCCTGATGCACACCCTGGTCGTCTACCGCAAGCGCATGCTCCTCCTCTTTCGTGGCCAGCCTGACTTTATCATCAAGCCCGTCCCCGTGCGCGAGAGTATCTCCGCTGCCCTCAAGTACGGCGGCACCCAGGTCGCCAGCACCCTCGCGGCCCTCGCCCTTGGCACCGTCGTCTTTACCGTCCTTGCCATCTTCATCGTCATTACCACCGTTCTCCCAATCATGAACCTTTACGGCGACTGGTTCTGGCCCTGGTGGTTTCGTTTTGCCATTTTCGACGCCGAGACAGGCCAACCCGGCTTTCTCGCCATGGTCCTGGTCAACTACTGGACCCTCATGCTCATCACATGGCTTGCCTTTCGAATGGACCCCAATGACCGGGGCCTCCAGCGCCGAGGCCTGTTCCACGTCTTTGATTGCATCGAGTTTATCTTCTACCTCTTCAACGCCCTGCTTGGTCTTGCCAAGCGTGCCATCACCTCCATCCTTCTGCAAGTCATTTTCATGGGGCGCATGGACAAGAGTCTCATGCCTCGCAAACACGAGCTCATGGACAAGTCCTACGTCTCTTATCTGGGTTACATGCAGCTTGACCTCTTCTACTCACACCCAATCCTGCTCACGGCCTGTTACTTTTGGTTGCTGGAGGTGGAGCCCCCCTTTGTCAAGTCCGCCTACGACGTCCACCCGTCCCTCGGCACCACTGCCGGCACCGAACTGACCCGCCGTGCCAACTCTCAATCCCTACACGGCTCCACTGCCGTCTTCAAAACCCTGCCAAATAATGCGGGCGATGAAGAAGAGGAGGACCAAGATGGCCTGATCAATGGTGATACCCACGCGGCGGCCCCAACCCCAGCGCGAAGTGGCGCGAGTCTACCCAATCATCGCCGCATCCGCTCGGATGTGTCCGTGCTAATGGACGAGCACGAGGCCTCACGCGCGCGTCGCCGCCGCATTCGAAACCGCGTCTGGCTTTGTGTGACGTTGGTGCACAACCCGCGTCTGCGCAAATTTCGGAAGCACGTCATTCGCGCGGAACTGGCCCAGGTTTACGAACGCATTGAACGCAGTACTGAGCAAAGCTCTCCGACCCATCACCTCAATCCACTGCATAACCTGCTGCAGCGCGCACGCCCCGAGCGCGTTGCTGCCACGCGTTCAGAGCGCGCCCTGACGTCGGTCTTTGACCGTAGCTTTGATGCCGATCCACCTCCGTACCGTGAGATGCGGAACAATCCCTTTTTCCAGATTGACGACTCGAGCCACGAGCCGAGCAGCCAGGACCCGAGCCAGGATGCAAGTGAACGCAGCTCTATGGACTTGCCCGACAGCTCGCGAGGCACGCCGGCGCAGCCGCGGCGCGCCACTGTCAGCACCACCGTAGACGAGGTCGCGAGCGATCAAAGGCCCGATCCCTTTGCTATGGAGGACATGGAGGAGGATGAGTACATGGAGATTGGGCCCAGTCTGCGCCTTGAGGGTGAAGATGAGGAAGACACAGCCGAAAGCACTGCGTGACAAGCCCCACAAGCCAGCCAATAGAATAGACAAATTGTGATGATGTGTGGATGATGTGTGTGGATGAAGGCTGCTGCTAGAGTCGGCCTGTGAGTGCGCGTGGCTTCTCCCCCTGCTTCCTTGCTAGATTATCCCCATGTCATCCCGGGATGCCGCAGACGAGCTGCCCTCCATTCCTTGCGCTTCCACATACGATAGACTGAATTGATCGATTAGTTCCTCGCTCCTTTTTTTTTTTCTTCAAGGTTTCAAATGTCAGATGTCAGATTTTAAATCGTGCCCAACCAAAAGTTTTAATTTTTTGTGTGATCCTCATGTTCCCATGTCCTAAGACAGCCCCTGACTGACGGGAGGGACAAAGAGAGATGTGGAGGGGCACGGAGGTCTGGTCAGAGATAGTGGCCGAATGATAAAGAACGAGCAGAGGTACGGAAGGGTGAAACAAATCTAAAATTCATACAAAGAGAAAAGTTCAAGGGCGAAATGGATGACAACAGAGAGAGAGCGCCAAATAGAGCCCGGGTCAGAGACAGAGCCAAAACCAGAGCCAAACTCAGAGCCAGAGCCAGAAAGAGAGAGAGTAGTTTTTTTTTTTTTTTTTTTTTTGGTGCATTTTCACCTTTGACTGATCGTGTCGGGTGTGTGTATGTGTGTGTGCGCGTGTGTGTGCGGGCGAGCCGTTAAGGTTGACGGGTCAGAGTGGTGGTCCGAGGAGAGTGGAAGCAAAGGGATCCCCTGGTAACGATGCACAAGACAGTCCCGTGGGCCATTCCATGTGCTGATCATGTTGTACGCTCATATGCATCCCTTCAACTTGTGCTAGATGGCTCAAAACGCAGTCCGCGCCGAGTCGCTTGACATTGATGCCGCACGCACGTGAGATCTCAGTGCTCAAGTGGGTGATCCCGGCCTGTTTGCAATCTTCTCCTGCTCAAGCAGCAGAATAGCCCGCTAGCAACTTTGTGACCCGAAAAATTGGTCGCCTTCAGCCGACACGCTGACTCACTGCTCGCCTTGTGTTTTGAACTCGGACACACGAAGGTGTGTCGCGTCAAGTCCCTTATGTTCGCTTGAGCCAGCGTTACTCAATCATGTATCCTTGTAGCCACACACTGCTCTGCGCACCAAAGGTCATGAGGCAAAAAGCTCACCGTATTCCTTGCGTAGAGACTGCCTGTTTGTTGGCCTTTGAACCCCCACCCCTCACGCGCGTAGGCGCGCACACATGGCTTGCCGACCCGGTCCTGTCGCCAAAACATACTTATTTCGTTAGTGTGTATGATGTCGGCTCCTCACGCAGCTCGATCGTACACTTGGGCCTCATGCCAAAGTGACCTTGTGTGACTGTTGTAGACATCCTTGCACGTTGACGGTCACCCAGATCAGGTGACCAAAGTCACGCTCGTTTCACGTTTGACCTCATTCATGTATGCAAATGGGAGCTTGAGCGTGCTCCCATCTTGCCACTTTGGCACAGGACGTGTATCCTACTGACAGGTGAGCGCACCATGCAGCACAAACCTGCCATCCGCCTTTGTCCGAGCTCTCTGACTGGATCAAAGAGCACCCGGATCTATTCACAACACAGTGCCGCACGTCTGACGCCTTTCCTGCATTCAAATTCAATGCAACGTTCCTCCAGCCGACGACGCCGCCGACCGCACCAGCGAGGCTGGTAAGAGCAGAAGGCGTTTGCATCGGTGGCCTTCTCAACATGCCAGACCATGATACCACCGGAGCGAACATCTCACCTCGAAGGGCGCTCGCACACTCGTTTCGCAGGCTTGAAGGTGTCATGGACGGTAAAACCGCCAGGCGCTTCACTTGCCAAGAATGCGGCGAGACTTTTGCAAAAGACTCGGCCAAAAACAGTCATTATCGAAGGGTGTGTGCATCACGTTGTCCGCAACCCACTCCGCTTCCTTATTAAGGCAGCACCCTTCACGTTGATCGCGCTGCAACTGTAGCTTCACCAGCGCCGAACCAGTGTCAGTGTGGGAGGTCAGGTAACGGTTGTTGATCGACAGCCTGACGGCAGCTTTCACTGCCCCGTTCCCAGTTGCAGCGCAAGCCACGGGCTCGCAACCAATCTTCTCCGACACATTCGCGCCAAGCACGCCGAGCCGCCAACAGCAAGCACCGCCGCTTCCGCAGCGCACCAAGACAAGCCACCTGCCTTGTTCAGCCGTCCGCGCAAGGCCAAACGACGCATCCGCTTTCAACAGGATCATGACGTGCGAGGGGCAAAGCGTTTTTTGAGCGAGATTGGGCTTTGCGTCGCTCCCCGAGGCGGCCCGCCGATATGCCTGGAATGCCAGCATCGGCTCCGTGGTAACATTGTGACACATCTGCGAACCAAGCATCACATCCTCTGCGTGCCAGACGACGTCGATGCCGCCTGCAAGCTGACTGGTTCTCTGGCTGAACCCCTCGAAGAGCAGGCGGAGCACGACCAGGACCCTAGCACCCCACAAGCTCCCTTGCCCGGCATTCCCATCCTTGATGGGCTCGGCTGCCCCCTGTGCTATGCATGCTCAACCACAATGGTGAGCCTTCATTATCACCTACGTACAATGCATTCAGACGACCCCGATCGCAAACTGCCACCCCGCACCATCAAACTGCAAAAGCCAGATCGAGGCATGGGCGCCCGATGCGTCGAGGTGCTCCCGGATTTGGAAGAGGCAGATCAGACATTGCATGACATTGACCAAGAGGAGAAGGAAAAGCGGATGAACCAGGCCGTGCGACGCTGTGTCCGGGCCTTGCAAGCCGAGCTTGTCGACAACATCCATTCCAAGGCCTCGCCAAACGTGCCAGATCAGTAATTCTGCGTCGCTCGGAAAGGAAATTGATTCTCTTTGGGGGGCTTCAACTTTTTCACTGCGTGTTGCAAGACGCTTCATGGTACGGCTCCCTTTCATGCAACGTGTCAACGCGCTCTTGCGCTCTCTAGAACACTCTCTGTCTCATCATTTCTCTGTCTCTCTCTGTGCCTCTGTCTGTGTGCCTCTGTCTGTGTGCCTCTGTCTGTGTGCCTCTGTCTGTGTGCCTCTGTCTGTCTCTCTGTCTCTCTGTCTCTCTCTCTGTGTCTGTCTCTGTCTCTCTCTCTCTCTCTGTCTCTGTCTCTGTCTCTGTCTCTCTCTCTCTCTCTCTGTCTCTCTCGCTCTCTCTCTCTCTCTCTCTCTCTCTCTCTCTCTCTCTCTCTCTCTCTCTCTCTCTCTCTCTGTCTCTCTCTCTCTGTCTCTG